CCATATTAAGCTCCTCGCGGCATCTATATTAAGAAATTAAAATCATTGTTATTTAGATTTTTAAAGGTTATAGGTTATAGGTTAAGAAGATAGATATTCATAATTATGACGATTGTCGCGCAAACGTGTGATCGAATTTATGATCCTCAGTCTGTTGCAAACCACACAACGAACATGACTCAAACGGTTCTGCATAATGAAATTTAGTTTATGTAAGTTTAATACAATAACGTGAATCGCGACAGCACAAGCTTAATTATTGCCCGTTTGATTCGTTGAATATTCTTTTGGAATTAATACACTTACCTTTTTATATGTAATATCACTTTAAATATTACTTTACAAATTCTCAATTCACTGAATATTTTTTTATATTTGTTTGCAAACATATATGCTTGATTGAAAGCTTTCTATTCTCTCATTGTTAGAAGCATATCAAGGACACAATCAATTACAATTATTACCGCTAAGTGGCAGTGTCAAGATTCTCTAATATCGCGATATTTCCCCATATTTCACATTAAGCGCGTATTCCATATTCGGGTAACTTACCCTATTAGAAATAAAAAAAAATATATATTTACAAAAATTAACGAATAAATGTGTGTATCGATAAACACATAAAATATATATTTTCTCGTCGCTGTATTTGCGTTCGAATTTTTGCAATTAGCATGTAAATTAGCGTATTAAAATAACTTTTTTAATTTCGCTCGCGGCAGAGTTATTTCGTTGACATATAAAAGAGCAGCAACGAGAAAATATACTCAAACAGGGAAATCAATTTCATCAAATCTAAATTGGTACACGTACACGCGTTTATCATCAACGCAAATGTGCAATACATATTGATTGATACTCGGCATTTTCTCCTCGTACGCGAAATAATCTACACAATCTTTCCGATATTCGTATTATAACGCGTATTTTCGCGCGCATACATCTCAATTTGTCTCTTAATCTCTCGTATCCCGCGTGTATTTCGCGTTTATCGAAGCCAGTCACGCATTAATCAGACATCATTGGACGTGTCGACGGGTACATTGCTCCAGGCTCCCCCGGCGCGCCGAGAAATCGTATCGGACTCGCCCGACTCCGCGATACAGTGGTAGTAAGGTTGTGTACAGCGGCGGGTGATAGTGGTGGTGCCACGGCGCGCTCGCTCTCATTAGCCATGGCGAGTGCTCGACATGGTGTTGGTATTACCACCGCCATCGCCGCGTGGCATAGGTGGTAGAGCTTCGTTCTATCGACCGAGCGAGCGAACGGAGCGGAGCCGAGCGGTTCTCTCGTCCCGTGACCTGACCTCGTCTGAACCCTCCGCCGCTGCTGCTGCTGCCTGCGCCTCATTTCCTCACTCCTGCCCTCTCGTTCTCCCCCTTTCTCCCTCTCTTTCTCTCTCTCTCTCTCTCTCTCTCTCGATCTCTCTTTCTCTGCCTCCCTTTTTCTCCCTCCTTTTCTCCACCCCGGTCGCTCTAATGCAATCACCTCTCGCGGCATTGCGAGCAGTCGCGTCTCTTCTCTTTTCTCCCTCGGTGCCATCGCCATCGTCGTCTCCAACTCCCGTCATGGCCTCGTCCGCCCTCCGCGGAGAGCGATAGAGTTCCCTCTTTCTCTCTCTCTCTCTCTCTCTCGAGCTCTCCCCCACAACACTTTCTATACGATATTAGCGCGTCTGAACTGGAACAACGCCCCAAAAACTCGCGCGAATCGCGTAATCTGCTTCGCGCTATTATCTTGAGCTTCTTTTTTTTTTTGAAAACTTTTATCTCTTTATACGCGTGATTTTAATATTAATTTTTTTGTTTGTTTTATATATATGTTATTGTTTCTTTCTTGTCAATATATATTCTTTCGATAATATACACATATTGACTGCGTTTCTTTTCTTTCTTTCTCTCAATTGCTCGCTCCGATCACATTATTGTCCAACGTTGCAAAACATTTGCCGAATACATGCACGTTTGCAAAATGGAGACAGTGGTGTCTCTTCGTGACGTAACTGCGCGCGATTTAATTCGATTCGGTCAACGGATCACCGCGAGAAAGTTGCTCTCTTCTGTAACGAGCTATCTCTTCTGCGGAAAAGTTTCTCGAACAAATTGACCTACCGGAATTGAATCTTTATTATATCAATTTTGTACCTATATCGAAATTGATTTCAAAATAACAATTTGCTGAATATTGGAAAGTTTTTCTCGAAAACTTTGTATCGAGATTTATTTTCAAAAAAAAAAAAAAACAAAAAAACAAAAAAAACAATCGTTCAAAAAACAGTAATAATGTAATGAAATATGCAACACAAATGCGTTATTTACTTGATATTTACGTGTGATCTCTTTATCGTTTTCGCGAGATATAAAGATCGCGTTTGAATTAATGACGGGAGGGTAAAAAAGAAAAAAAAGAAAAAAAAACGCACCACACGACGCATTTGAGCGCCGCTAAATGAACACGCTATGAACGCACGACCCTTAGTCACTGGATTATCCACGCGTGATTGCGGTCGACTTTACATTCACACATTTAAACCAAGTTTCACGCGCTCGTATTGCCAGCAATAAGGCAGTCGTAACTACACCTATATTACACATATCGCGTTCTCAATTTTACTTATCTACGACAGAAATTGCCGCGAACTTTGCGAACGGTGATACTACATGCACATACACACGCACACATGTATAAACGGGCAATTATATTTTGAAGAAGAATATCCTTCTAATTTGGCGAATTACGAATTTACACGATCTAAAACATTGTTGAAACTTCTGGAAAAAACTTCGTTAGTTCGAAGTTTTNTTTTTTTTTTTTTTTTTTTTACAAGATAAGAGACAACAATTGAAGAGGAATACGCGGAATTCTGCAAAAAATATGTAGAGAAAGAAGCATAAAAATATGAAAAACAAAAATAGCAAATTTAATGGAGCGCCTGTGTGTAATACCTGGAAACTGTGTTAACATAGAGCGGTGAAAGTCGTTAATGGTAATAATAACAATGGCAAACACACAGGCACACGCAAACACAGAAAACCCTGAAAAAACAGCGATACATTAGAAAGTCTCGAGAAACGACCCTCGCTCGTTGCGGGACGAACTGAGGGTCGTTTTTCAAAGGGGTCAAGGGGAATCAGCGCGCCCTGAGAGAGGCCACGCTTATTAATATCAACTTCAAGTTCGAAAATGTTCAATTTCCCACGCGCGGTGCTATTCAACTTGTCGACTCGAAAGATCATTATATGCCACGATAAATTTTATTATCGTAAGATAGTTTTTTTTTTTTATAATAATACTCTCACTGGTTATTAATTAATTTTTTAAATTAATCTTTTCCGCACGAGTTAGGCGAAATACGGGCCAAAAAGTGGAGAATTAAGTTTTTCGCGAAACGAGCCAAAACATTCTTCTTTTTGTTTTTTTTTCATGTTTGTTTGGACCGTAATCGATACCACGAGTCTGACTCGTTATTTTATACAGGAAGAAGTTAATATAGTTTTTTTTAACGAACCTATTTACTTTCAATTTGGTGTTTGTTTTAGTGCTTTATAACGTTATTAAAAGTTTTCAGCTTTAATATATGTATATCGACAAAATGTTTCATCTGAATCTATATAATTTAATTTTTGCACATTTATTAAGATCTTAAGAAAAAGAGACAATTGTTTGTTTTATCATATTATACTTTACATTTGACATTTATATTTATATATTAATTTCTATATTAATTCGAGATTCTTCTCATTTTTATTTCTAAAATCTGAAAATAATAACTCTTGCAAGTTACATTTTCTCTCTCTCTCTCTCTCTTTCTCGAATTTTCACAACTCTTTTGGTATATACACACCGGATGCTTCTTTGCAGTGCGGTAAACCGTCGAACGCGTTTTGGCCGAAATGTATTCCGGTTTCTCTCCCGTATCATCGTTCTCACAATGTCACGACCGTTGTGCGTGATTCCGGCACGACGTCACGGTCCCATTGACGCCGATCCCTCCGAGAGGAAGGCACCTTAAACGGGCTCGTAAAACATTTTCGTGACCCCTTTTTTTTCACATAATTCGTTGAACAGACGCCACGGTTTCCGGTGCCGTCGAAAACCATCGAGATGCTTATCATACATGGTATTGTACGTGTCCGGAATGCGTAAATCATTCTTGCGATTAAAAAGAACGTTTAATTTCTATCGTTAAAATTTAGGAAAAATATTTGGAAAGTGGAGTGTACATATATTTTTGGAAAGTTTGCTACTTTTGATATCGCGGTAGCTATTCGTAAAATCTGAAATCCAATCATTTCAGAGAAACGCGTGTTTTTGTTCGAAGAGGGTTTCCACGCTAACCGGATGATCAAGGGCGGCTCTATCTCTTTCGCATCCCTCCTTTTTGGAACCCTCGTCTTCAGAATAAATTCGATGTATCGTCCCTCTTAATCTTCGTGCCGGGAATGTGCCTTTTGTCAAAAGTAACGCGTAGAAGATATTGAAACTCGACAGTGTTATTTATCTTCAGAGGCATATAAAAAGTTGCGATTCACAGTAATATATTTTATCTTTTTACTTAACACATTATCTGATATGTGTCACAATGCGATAATACGTATCAAGGTTTTCGCACTTACTTAAATTTGTTTATCAATTTAATGAACGACCGAAAGTTAAATTTTGAAATCGTCGATCAGACAAGTTACGAAACAACTTCGTGGTCATAGTTCAGGAAACGACGTTTAATACAATTTCGGAGCGAGACGAGTGGCCCGGACAACACACACATATACACAGACGGAGTTTCCTGTAGGGCGGTTGAAGAAAGGGTGCGAAGGAAGGGAGAGAGAGCCTTGGGTACGCGCGTGATGGGCGGGACGAAGGGAGATCGTATCGTCGTTCTGGCACGACACGAGATCGCGGAACGAACCGAGCACAGCCGAGCACGTCCGTTTTCTACCGAAGCGATGTATTCGGGAGTGGGGACCAGTGGGTGTTCAGTAGCTACATTCAGTCGAACCAGCGCCGTAGACGGAGTCGGATCACGAGAAGTATCGCGAAGAGAGTATCTTTCCGTGACAGAAAAACGAAAGAGAGATAAAGAGAGAGAGAGAGAGAGAGAGAGGAAGAGAGGAAGAGAAAGAAAAAGAAAAACGGGCGCTTGGTAAAGGTTCGTAATTGCACGTGTACACGGTTGAATTCGACAGCTGGACGAGGAGAGCAGACAAACCGAAGCGAGAAACAGAGAGACGGAACGAGAGATCGAAGCGCAGTTGGTGGTTGGCCGAAGCCGAAGCTTTGCGCCGCCTCTTCGCTCGTCTCCTCCGAATTGATTCCACGAGCTGTCGTCGTCCGCGCATCGCCACTTTCGTCGCCACGATCGCAACGAACGACAGTCGCGCTGCTCTCCGGGAAGTCTCGTCGTCGTCGTCGCCGTCGTCGTCGCCGCCGCCGCCGCCGTTGTTGCTGTTTTCGGTACTCTCGCAGCACGGATATACGTCAGTGAAAATGCGGTGGTGACAGTGACGGATACCGAAGGGGAGGAAGGACTCCGAAATTGTCACGCAACAGGGTAATTGTCATTATTGTCGTCGATCGTGTGTCGCGCGCAAATATATCAACCCCCGTTCGTACTCGATCGAGTCGACGTCGGTTGAACGAAAAAAAAAAAGATAGAAAGAAAGATATATATACATACACACACACATATATATATATATATATCTATACATATATATATATAGAGAAAGAGAGAGAAAAAAAGGGAGAGAGGGTGCTTTCCTCGACGGTCTAGCCGGAAGTTATGACAAGCTCGCGCCTCATTCAAGGACGAAATATTGTTCGCGCGCATGTGTCCAGTAGTGGGATATAGTGTCAACGACAAGTCGCAGCTGCTCGCAGATCTGGATACCTTGCTGTCGACACCCGCCGGGCCCGGATTGTCTCATGTCAGGATGCCGCTGGCGCGGTACGTACACTCGTACGGCTCGCCGTTGTCGGAGCTAGGGTGGGTCTTCGCCCGTCCGGGGCTAACCGGAGGGGGGCAGGAGGGAGGGAGGGGGAGACGTTTGTCTGTTTGACCGGTACGGCGGAGAGTAATCGCATCGATCCGCGAAGCCGGCTGGCGTCGTCGAACATATGCGATGCCGACCAAGAAGACGCTTCTCCTCCTCCCGAATTTCTCTCCCCTTTTGACAGTAAAGCTACCGGCTGAAATTACTACGATCGTTCGAAAAAAAAAAAACAAAAAAAAAAAAAAACGAAAACGGTTCGAGTCAATTCCGAGATTCTTTAGATACTCTTAGTTTAAGGATGTACATATAAAATTAGTTTTTTCGATCGCGAAAATAAACGCGTAAAACTACATCGAATAAAAGAAAAATAATTGCGTATAAATAAAATTGGATTGTTGTTTGTATAAAAAGAGGAAAGGAGAAGAGCTAGATGTACTTTTTGTAGGTTAACGCGAGAACGTTTCTTTCTCGCGAATTCTCGAGAATTTTCTTGCGGTTCTTTAAAATCACGCAGTTGCCACTTTGAAATTTGTCGACGGAGGTACGACGGTCAACGACCGGTCGTCCCTTCGACGACGACAACAAGCAGAGGCGAAGTATCGCGATGGCCATTAGCCGTACGTTCGTTCCTTCTTTTGTCCGCGTTCTCTCGCTCATCGAGCGATTCGCGCTCGGCGCTGTCTGACTGGAAAGTTCTTGGTCAAGTCGCGAACGAAAGAGCCGCGAATCAAGGTGAATACACCTTTTTACGTTAGACGCCGACCTTCCTGAGGCTGCCTGATGTGGGCCTCGTCACGCCTCGACGATTCTCCGCCTGCTGCTGCTGCTGCTTTCATATAGACACGTCCGACCGTGAACGCGAGACACGATGGAATTCGAACGTAGAAACGTTCCCTCAACGTTTATCATGCTTCCTTCGTTTGTTCGTTCTTCGTTCGTTTGTTCGTTCGTTCGTTCGTTATTGTCGAGGCTTGCGACGAGGACTCTCAACGAGTCCGACCTGCTGCTGTGTGTGAATGTCGCCAAACGAAAGTAGAATGTCGGGAGAGTAAACTTGCCTTTACCTTCTCGGCGTGTATTTGCCGAATGTATTTAAATTTATCATTATTTTTATTCGGGAGAACACACAATCTCTTTATTTAGCATTGAATATATTTATTTTGAGATATTTTATTTGTTATTTCTGTAACTTCTCTTTCGTGAATTTTTTATCTCCAAAAATAATATTTTAATAAAAAGTATGTTTCATAAGCTCGAAATATATACACTGAAAATTCTACACTTGAAATATAACATTAGAAATTTAATTCAAAAACGAAGATATTTGAGAGAAGATTTCGAACATTAAACTTTAGTTCCGTATATTACTTTCGAAATGTTAGAAACTTTCAGCTCTGCTTTCGCTGCTTTAATTGTAACACATTTTTTATGCCATCTGCAAATTGTGGTAATATTTGCAACTGTTCTTCATTCTCGCGACGTAAATTTATATCATAATACATATCTATTAATGTATTTGTTTAATCTGAAAAGTTTTATAAAATTTATTTTTATGTTTTTATTTCAACAAAACATTTATTATTCATAAAGAATATATAACTATTTGTTATTTATCTGGAATTAAAATCTCTCCGCGTATTTTTGAACTTTATTTCCAAACATATTAAAAATTATCCGTACGTATAATCGTAAATTTTTACTTTTTCTTCAAAATTTCAAACACATTTGCAAGTTTCTCTTAACGAATGTTAATCATATGTCTCAAGTATATTGCGGAAATGTACATATCGCGCAAACCTACTACTGATACGCAGTGACGATATTTCCAGTTTCGTCAATAGGATAGTGTTTCATTACCGTTAGTCATTACTTCCTGCTCGTGTGCGCCTCCGTGAGGCATCGGATTTAAAAGCCGTGAATCACGCGCATCAACAAATTCTCGGAATTCTAAAGCTTTTTCGAGACCCTCAATTCTCTATTCATGATCTATGATTTCGCAGATCAGTTTCGGGGTTGTGTGTGTGCACTTGTGACAGAAACATCCTCGACGCTACTATAAGCTTGTTTCCGTAAACGCGAAACTTGCTCGCGAGATTGCTGAGAATTGCAGTTACTCCGCTTTCTCGATTGCGAAGTTTAATTTGGTTTCAGAAAAATTGATAAATAAACTCTGAACGAAGTATTTATCAATTTTGCGGCAACTTTGTTTTGTAAGATTGCAACGTACTTATGTACTTCGTGTCAAATTCGGATACAAGTAATTGAAAAAACAAAATTGAGATTTAACATTAAATTACAAGATCAAGATCAAATTTGCAATTAATTTGCATCTAAAACGCGACGAAATTATGAAACTCACGTACGTTTATTTTCAACTTGCCGATTTCAAGCGTTGTTTTGCATTTTTTTCTTTTTTGATTCACATCAGGTGATCTTTTTTCCTTGGACGTCGGAATTTTGTTGCTCAAGATAAAAACATACATGTTATTGCGTGCGATGTGATATTGACAGGCTTTTATTCGCGCGTTGTGGCATTGCGCGATCGTTAATTGCACCGTTTCGCAGTAGCGATAAAAAAAAAGAACTCGATATGCTAAAGCGCTTTACGTCTTCTTCCGGAAATGTGCAGCACACGCAGGTATGCGAGTTACGGAATTGTCTTATCAACCTGACTCTGTATAACCTATGCATCTTTTATATTGTGTCGCCTATCTCGCGCATTTCCGTATCGTTGCACTTTTGTCGCACGTGTAATTCCCGGCGCGCGACCTTCGTCGGCGAGCTATGGACGACTCGCAGATGTGTGCAGGTGCCTTTTAATTTTTTTTTTTTTTATTTTTTTTTTTTATTTACGCGTCTTTCTCCCACCATTGCATTACCACTTGTTAATTTCGCGACGGCCTTACCAACTTTGACTGTCGCGTCGCGTCTGAGTGATGCTCGTTTCTCGACGTTACAACGCTTGTGCTCAATTACATGACAGCTTTATCTCCTAATTGGCATTGTCAATGCCAACATAATGCGAATTTGACAGGTAAAACCACACGAATTCCGCGATTTTCGAAGAAACATCGCGCGACATTCGATTAGACATACGATTTTATTTCACTATTTTTTTTTGTTTTTTTTTTTTTTTTTATTAGTCGTCTTTCGCGCCGTCAAATTCGAAGTTGGGTGATATCGTCGAAGAAGTCGTGTGTGTTACGTCACGAAAAGAAAGTCATTCACGATGAAACAGGTTGCGCCGCGAGGTTACGTTACGTGTAATTCACAAAGAGAAAGAGAGAGAACTCTAGTGCGATTTGTTCATCAATCATTTTGCAGCCGTCGTGCTCATCTCTAATATCTAGTTACTGCTTTATAATATTGTAATAGCGGTTGAGTCAAGGAGATTATCTTAACTTGATAGAGTTTCGCACATTTTTGTTATTTTATTTTTTTTTTTATCGGGAAAGAAAGTAGTATGGAAATTGCAAAACGCTTTTATATCAGGACTGCGCTCGTGCAAGAAACTACGTATTGAACGGAATTGCTGGATGGCTCGCCTCCCACATCCCGATCATAGGTTAATCATCTATAAACTCGATGTTGGATAAAAGTTTATTTCGAGTTCATTGTAATTGTTTTTTTTTTTTTTTTGAAACTTTTTTTTTATTTTAGAACAGTTATTTCAGCGACCCGCCGTAATGAACCGTAATCTTCGTGAACTCTGTAACTTTTACATAACGCAACTTTCATATGTGGAAATATTTAAATTTATAAAATTGATTAATATCCGCGTGTGTCGGATATACACGACGACTTTTTGTAAGTTACGATCTTATAAAATTGAATTTTGAGAAATCGAAACGAAATGTTTACACGTTTTTTTTAATATTTAATACGATAATTGAACGTTCAAAGTGGTGATTATCTTATATTGTTGTGGCTGATTGGAAAAAAACGTTTGAGAGAGAGAGAGAGAAAAAGAAAAAAAAAGCTGTAAAGATATTCAAAGGTTTTCGCTATGTTTGAAACGCGATTGTACGGGTTACAAAATGAATAGCTAATTACTTCGTTTATCTCATAGTCACGGTCGTAAAAAGAGCTACGAGCGTTTGCGGTGAAAAAAAATACGATCTGGAGGCACGCTCGGCAACGTTAAACGACGAATCGGAAAAACCGCGGCCTTGCCTCGTGGTAATGTTATCGTTTGCGTCACAATATTTTCTCGTCAGCACGCGCGCACGGAGCGCAAACGCCGGGAATGGCTTTGAATGTCCTTTGTGTCCGTCGAACAGCTGGTAGCGCGCGCGCGGTCGAGATATACGTATATTATATGTATGTATGTGTTGGTGTAAGTGTGTCTGTGTTATTACTATACTGCTATTACTACTACTATATCACTGTTAATAGTAATACTGTTACGATTATTATCACTGGTACATTGTCGCGACATTACTCATATGTCGAACAATATCGTCGTAAATTAAAACACCTATCCGTATTTCGAATAACGTCAATTACCGTCTCTCGCGATCCTGTCACTTCGATTTAACGCGCTGCGACAATCCAATTACGATCTCGCGCGCGTGATATGATATTTCGTTGAAGGCTTTTATTAACACATTGCTCAAGCGTCGCAAACAGCGAAGTTTCGATAAAATCTCGAGAAAAACATGACAAAGTAGCGCAATTACATAGCCGATACACAAAATTTTTCGAGAACTTACAATCAAAAGAATTTTATTGTTCATGTTTTTTTTTTAAACGTAACTTTGCGCAAGATAATCTCTGAGAGTCTCGACGATAGTTTGTTTTCAAATCCGCGATCACAGCGAGATATCTCGTCGTTAATAGTTTTTTTTTGTCTGTGATTTACGTTTCGGAGCATATTATTTGAATGCTATTATAGCTGTAGAGCATGGGAGTCGAGGCCAATCGATGTCCGCAGCTCGATGAAATAAAGCCGAGTACAAAGAAGAAGGTAGAGGAAGATGCGGCGATGGTGGTG